AAAAATGTTGTTGCTGACCTAAATAAGGGAGACAAGCTTGAGGGTACCAACTATGATATTTGGCATAGGAAAATTCAATATCTCTTGAATGAGCAGGAGTTATTGGAAACATTAACCAATTCAATGGTCGAACCTGAGGTTGGGCAAACGGCCCAACATCGCCGTGATCTTGAAGCTTATCAGACTTGGTTCAAAAAGGATCGTTGTGCGCGCTTTACTATGCTAAGCAGCATGCACAATGATCTTATTGGGGGATATGAAAGCTACCCTACTGCCAAGGCTTTATGGGATCAACTAAAGTTTGATTTTGGTGGTACGTCCACCACTCGACTTAGAAGTTTGGTCCAGAAGTTTGAGGTATACCGCAAAAATCCTAAGCACACGATTCATGAGCACTTAAGAGTGCTTTCTAGCATGATACGTGACTTAAAGGCTGCAGGAAATACCCTCACTGATGAGCAGCAAGTGCAGGCAGTCATCAGATCCCTGCCAGATTCATGGAGCTCCATGAAACAAATCATGACACATAATGAGAATATCAAGAACTTTTCTGATATTTCTCGTCATGTTGAGCTAGAATCGGAGCGCCAAGAGGCGACCAATGCTACTGTCCTTTTCGCCCAGGGTGGCACGTCTAAGACTAAAGGGTCTAAGCGTAAAGGAAAAGGAAAGACAGATAAGCAGGATGGGGCAAACAAGCTTGCACCAAAGGATGACAACAAAACCAAGCGCCGTCGGGGCAAGCGTGGTGGGAAGAAAGACTTGTCCAAAGTCAAATGCTATAACTGTGATAAGAAGGGTCACTTCGCTCGTGATTGTACTGAGCCGAAGAAGGTATCTTTCTTAACTAAACCTTCCCACATATATGTATGTGAACATGTTTTAGTTGCTAATACGTCCTCTGGGTGGATTGTAGATACGGGAGCAACCAAACATGTGACTCGAGATCGAGAAGGTTTTTTGGATTATCGACGAATTCCAAAGGGCACCTCTGGTGTGTTCATGGGTGATGGAAGCCGTATAGAAGCTTTGGGAGTTGGTTCATATCAACTTCAGATGCGCAATGGGCGCACATTGCTCCTCAATAATGTGCTCTACGTTCCTGGAATTCAGCATAATCTATTTTCAGTTTTAGAGTGTTTGCGTGATGGATATTGTTTTAAGTTTTCTGCTTTTGGTTTGGATGTGTTATTGGATGGTACAATTGTTGGTCATGGTTTTTTAAGGAATAACTTCTTTTATTTGGATTTGAATGATTCCGATTACTCATCTTCTTATATAGCTTATGCTGATGTACATGTTGATTCTGCAACTTGGCATGCTAGACTAGGACATATAGGACGTGACAGGATGACAAGGTTAGCTAGAGAAGGTCTTTTAGGCTCACTCGCTAAAGTTGACCTACCTATATGTGAATGTTGTCTGGCTGGTAAAGCTATAAGAAAGCCTTTTGGTAAGGCTAAGAGAGCTACGCAACCGCTAGAGTTAGTTCACTCGGACATTTGTGGACCTATGAGTGTGAAGGCACGTCATGGCGCCTCTTATTTTCTCACATTTATTGATGATTACACGCGATATGGTTATGTCTATCTGATCGCTCACCGCTATGAAGCCTTGGATTGTTTCAAACGTTTTATAGCTGAGGTTGAGAATCAGACAGAGAAGAGTTTAAAGGCTCCTCGCACAGACCGCGGACGCGAGTACTTATCTGAACAGTTTAAAGAACTATGTGAAAATAAGGGGATACGCAGACAACTTACTGTTCCTTATACACCGCAACAAAATGGTGTTGCGGAAAGAAGGAATAGAACTTTATTAGACATGGTTAGGTCTATGATGGCGCAAGCTAATCTCCCAATTTCGTTTTGGGGAGATGCAATATTAACTGCTGCCTACATTCTTAACCGAGTGCCTTCCCAATCAGTCACTTCAACCCCGTACGAATTATGGAAAGGCGAAAAGCCCAATTTGGGGCATTTGCGCCCTTGGGGATCAACTGGTTTTGTTCATAATACTTTCCACAAGCATGGAAAGCTTGGCCCTCGAGGTAAAAAAACATATCTTCATAAGGTATTGCGAGCACTCGAAAGGCTATGTGATGTATGGTGAACATGCTGATGGAGGAATGACTGAAATAGATTCCCGAAATGTGAATTTCATAGAGAATCATTTTCCTAGCATTGGTGATGCCCAAAAGAATCTTGACCTCCATGAGTTGGAAGGAAGTGAAGATATTTCACAATCTTTAAGCGAGGATGGGGAATTGACTCCTAATCCAGTAACCGCTAAAGAAAGTGACAATGATCTGCAACCTAGTGCGAGTATACCAAAGGATGGTACACCACTAGAAACTCAAGATTTAATGGTGCGCAAGAGCAAACGAGGAAATATTCCCCGTCGATTTTTTGAAATTGAAGGGGAAACTTTCTTGTGTACTCCAATAGATGAAGAAGAGCATGCTTCTTATAAGGAAGCGCTATCATCTTTAGCTAGTAAAGAGTGGATGACTACTATGCAAGATGAGATAAGCTCAATGGACAAAAACAAGGTCTGGGAGTTAGTTGACCTTCCGCCTGGGCGCAAGACCGTTGGAAACAAATGGGTCTTGAAAATCAAACGCAAAGCGGACGGTTCAATTGACAAATACAAGGCACGTCTTGTGGCGAAAGGCTATACTCAAAGAGAGGGTATAGACTATGATGATACTTTCTCCCCTGTGGTGAGATTTGCATCTATTCGCCTAATCCTCGCTATTGTCGCACAAAAGGATTTGAACCTTTTTCAAATGGATGTTAAGACTGCATTTCTCAATGGAGATCTA